GCTCTGCAAAGGGCCAGGCTGAGCGCACCTGCACTTGTCCAATTTTTAGTTTATGTCCTTGACATGCTAGTTCCACATCCCTGATATATGTATATAATATAAAGTGATTTCTGTGTGGAAAACATCATGAACTGCTTCCCCTTGTCCTTCTCTCCTTTAAAAAAAAAAAAAAAATTAGGCTTATTTGACTTATTTTCATGTAGTTAACTTCTTGAGGTAAAAGCCTAGATTGAGTATGGTAAGTTACTTTGGAAAGTACTGGAAAACTAAACACACGCACACACACCCCCTACCAATGAAGAGATCCCTAAAATGATTTTGTAGGGGAAAAATAACAACACAGAAAACAAGTTAATGTTTTTCCTCCCCCCACAGAGAAGGAAAAAATCAACCAACATCCACCAAGCCTACGCAGAACTACGTGGAAAAGGTGTCTCTCTTTATCCATAAAAGAAAGCATTGATATCTTTTATGACAACCTCTCTCTTCCCTGTATTTTACAGTCACAGCAGCACAAAGGGTTATAAGGAGACTAGAGAAGTATAGCAAGCTAATCTAGCTGAGGAGCAAAAAAGCTTGCTTCCTGTATTGCCAGCATGATAGGAACGCAAAAAAAAAGAAAAGTTCTTTTCCCTTCTCAAGTTTACAGGTTATTTGGTACCTTTGCTTGGTCTTTTTTTCTGTTCAAGTGTCATTAACATTCTAGGAAAAGCTAGTAGTTTCTTGCAGACTAGATTTGACAAAATTGAATTAATTGGGTGATTTTCTTTTGACTTCAATAGGAGCAGACTCAAATCACAGAGAGCCTAACACCACAGCAGAAATAAAATTCAGTCTTGTATGAAGGCAACAGAGAGCAGCTATTCATATTTTGTAATCAGGCAAAAAGTGTCTGTGAATATTAGTTAACTCGCTAATTTGCTTAAAACCATTTCTTACTCTGTTTTTTGCTTTTCCCAGTTTGAGTGATACTCTCACAATGACAGGTCAGACCCTCTGAGAGGCTTCCTGAAAGTGCTGGCAGGCGCTACAGGCAGGGGCATCTACCTCAGTGACCAATTCAGCAGCCCTTTGAGTTAAAGGCAAATTCAAAAGTGACAGTAAAGTGGGAACTGACTGTACAGAGGTGGGGAGGGGGGGATTAGTTAGGTCATAAACCCAGAATTTAAGATACAGTTAAAGTGTTTTAAGTTGAAGCACAAAACTCAGGGCTCTGTACATTTTCTATACAAGACATCCTCCTCCAGAATAACTTCCCCCTCATATTTTCACCAGTTTTGGTGATTCCTGGCACTTTCTGCTCACATATAGTATCTTAAGAACTTCCCAGGAAACTTTTGCTACCCACACTTCTAACATCAATGCGGTTATACAAGAACACGTTTCTGATCGCTAGTCATTGTAAAAATGATGTATATTATAGGAAACTGCAGGCATTTCCATGGAGTCGTCTTCTGCAAGGCAGCATGGTTTGCTATCAACCTGTCATCCATGCTATCTGTTTGCTACGTGGTCTCTAATAAATAACAGCACGCACTGCGGACAGAAAACTCTCAACACTGACAAATATCGTAGTTGTCGTTTGTTTTCTTCAGGTCAGAAGTTAAGAAGGTATTAAGTATCTTTTGTAACTCAGGCGTATGGCCATGTTTTGGTAGATTAAGTGCAGAGAATCATGCTCCTTTCCGAATGTTTCTCATTCCTGTCAATAGAAATAGGATCTGGCCACGCTGCATCGTGCTTTACCTAACGATGAAGCTCAGCACATCACTGAAGCCTCTTAAAGTCCAACAGGACTAGTGTCATTTATGCACATTTATTCCAAGCGCAGAAACCACGAGTGCCTTTGGCCCATCACAGCCTCCCTATTCAACATTTAAAAAGGGAGTGGACATTTGTATTAAAACAGAAGGCCCCTCGTACTCCAGTATGATGTCAGTAACACAGGTCCTCCAAGCATGTTATTGTTTTAAACAGAGGTCTCCACACTTTCACATTGGTTATAACATACTTAGTGCTGCTGGACTGGAAGGAAAATGTCATACATCTGCAAACAATTAGAAGGAGCTGGACTTCATATTTGATTTACTAAACAATAAAACAAGCTTAAGTGTGACTATATGTGTAAGTTACACTCCCTAGGAGCCTCAAGCAGTTATCATGGCAAAGTCTTTTAACCATAATTAAATAAATCCACAGTGGGACCATTGCTGATTGAGATTATCTTTTATAAGATATTTTCAGCAGTGAAAAGCATGAAGATCGTGAAGTTGAATACATGCTTTAAGTGCTCTAGAAGTCTTTTATCCCTTCTTTCAAGTACACTGTCCACTACCCTTTTTCCAGCTGGAATTCATTCAGTACAATACAATTCAGATTTTAAACACTAATATTTCCATGCTTTCTGCATTTAGATTGAAGTTTTGGCATGAGGAAATTAGTAGCAAAACTCCAATTCAGTCAAGCCCAAGATTCCACCATAGTTTGTGTGTCTGAGTTCTGGTGCTATAACAACAGGTAGCAGTTGTTACAAAGTAGCCAAAGATTTGTGACTTGAATATAAATATTTAGTTTCCAGTTTCAGGAAGCCAGAGCACAAAGTAAAATAATAGTAATGTATCACCAACAACTTTCTCCTCAATAAAACAAAAACCTCAACTAGTTGTCCATCTAAGTTAACCCTCACTTTCAACCTTTGTTTGGAACATGAGGTATCGGTACCACACACTGTTAAACTTTCCTATGTTATCCCCAATTTATACACCTAAAGCTGTTGTAGCATGAGGCCATGTTTGTGTTTGGAAGTTTTCTAGCATTACTTGCATTTTTTTTAATCAAGCAAAAACGTTACATGCTAGAAGTTGAAGCGGCAGTTTATTGCAATTCACCAGCGAAGATGAGTGCCAGCCAGAGCAACGCGGCATCACCTGAAGCAGGGAGTGCCGGATCAAACGCAGGAGTCCGGTATTCTGTTCCTGGGTCTGCTGCTACTTTGCCAAGTTAAACTAAGGAAAAAAACCCATTTGCCATCCTTGGCATTGCTTTTTCCTTTGATAACCCTAAATGAATGCTCAGGGTGAAGGGGATCATGGTACTGACCTCCTGCAGTAGGTTCTTTACTTGACATTCTTGAATTCGAGTGACAGAAACGTTGAACATTAGCAGATAAGCCAGAAACACAACTCTGAGGCTTTGCCTACAAAAATAACTTATGCAGCCTCCATGATGATTACTATGCTTCAGAATGACGGGGAATTTACTTACTAGTGATAAATAATGTTTTGTATACATGAATACCAGAGAGAAAGGAACTACCACTGCATATTACAGCTTGCCCTGATTATAGTCACTCAAGTGCTATTTCATATGATTATACTGTTACGGGCCACAAAGTGGAAAAGATGAACCATGGGGTCAAGCTTTGCCCTCTGTTTGCATGGGTATCCCACTAACATGCTTGAAAACCAAGTTTATGAACAAGGAGTAGAATATATTTTTATGAAAGGAAACAAAACAGTGGATGAAACATTTGTTACTTCAGCAAGTATAAGAGTAAACTATTTATATAAAATAATAAATGAAACAGTCTTAGTTTACAGTAGTGCTTGCGAGTCTGGTTCCTGAATGCATACAATTAACATTGCTAATACCCTGAGAATTTTGGCACTGTGTGTGGTGTACGTACACTCAGATGAAAGCTCTTCATTGCCATAGTTTCAGAGGCTGGCTAGACTATGACTGGAAGTAAACTGGCAGGGTCTGCGTAGAACGACTTCCACAGAGATCAGAAGAGCCCAAGCTGTTCAGATGTTTGGTTCCTACCGCTTCATCACACATAATAAAACCACTGTATCCTTCTGCATTACAATCTGGTCTAAGCAAAAGTTCATATGGTGGTTAATTTTTGTTCCGTTCAGCACTCGCTTACTGAGAAATACATGGTTTTGCAAATCTTCAGAAGTCATCTATAGTATGACTTGCTACATAGCCTGCTTTTTTCAAAGCTCTGCCTCTCCTGGACATACTTAATACAATACAAAATGTTTGACTAACGTTGCTTACTTGCATTAAGGTTGGTTTTGAGGACCTACGGACAACAGAATTAATGCTGCTACTTAGCCTGAAATAGATGGAGCAGACTGTAAGGCTGCAACAAACTGCGAGTTCTGTTACCTTGAAGAATAACAACATGCATGTATTTTATTCACGTATCTTAAGGAAATGTGCACGTGTGCAGTTTAATAGCATATAGTGTTGCACCATTAAATGCAAGAGTTATAGGCTGTCATTTTCCAGGCATTAAGATTTGTTATCACGTACGTTCCAATTACACTGGAAGTAAAGCAGACGGCAGCTTGCTTACCTTGGCACACATTGTGATCACTTTGCTCATACCCAGCTGCACACTGAATTTGATGAGTTGGGTTTGGAGGGGCACGGTGAGGATCAGCTGGAGTCCGTCGAATGACGTTGTTTCGACCACTAGTGGATTCAGCTGCTGCTTCTTCTCGCTCATTTACAATAATTTGTGCTGTTCTAGGTAGACAGAGGTATCCTCCATAGTGGTTAACACATTTCATCCCACCTTTACATGCATCTGGGACTATTTCACATTCATCAATATCTGCAGTTAGCAACAACACAAGTCATGCCTTTAACAGTCGAACCTTCTGCAACAGCCATTAATACAAATAACACGAGACATGTAAGCACACCTCCTTGTCCAAAATAGGGGTGTGTAATGATAATATTTAAAGAATACCAATGGCAAGTCTGTCTTTGAAAATTGTTTACTGTACCTTTGCACCGTTGCCTAATAGGATCCCATTCATAGCCATCTGTGCATTGCTATAGAGGGGGGGGAAAAAAAAAATAAAGTTTAGGCTACTTGGGATTCCTTATTTTGGAAAAATAATCAAGTGTATTTCAATGAACCCAAAGTTGGATGCTAAGGGAAATGCAATGTTTGTATACCTTGGTCAGCTAGAAAAATGGCTGTTGGTACAGCATGGCTGGGCAGGAACAACATGTGTATATCAGAGCATGCCTCTACCTCAGGGAGTTCCTAAGATACCATTTGTTGTGAGTACGTAGGTTTTACTGGGGCTGGGGAGCAAAGTGAGGACAGCATCACTGTCGTCTTGCCTTGTTCCTATATGCCGTTTTAAAGCATCTATCATTAGCTGAATCCTGGAATAAATGAACCTCTGGACTGACCCAGCTGACCGGTATGAAAGTCTTCTTATGAAAAAGAAGCAAGTTTTTCTGAATTTTGATCTTGTTCACTGCCTTCCAACAGGTGAACATCCTTCCTTCCTGGGGCTGTTTTCCCAGGGACTGATGGGCCTCTATCCCCCTGTACTTCATCCTCTCGCCCATTAGCACTCTAGCAATGGGGAAGGATCCCATGACAGCAGGAAATTCATTCACATGCTTTGTAATCACATGACTCCAGGAACTGCAGTCTAGGAAGAACAATTTATATTGTGAGAAATACAATAAATGGCCAGAGTTTATAACAGTGGGACTACCTACACAAATAAGACTTGGCAGAATTCAAATAAGACTATACTCGGCAACTGCTCATATTTGACGCAGACTAGTAACTTCAGGAAGGATTTTAAATATTCTGCCCTGCAGTTAGCTAGGCATCTTCATTATTCCCCTGCCCCAAAGCATTAAATAGCCTACAGTACAGTAATTTTAATTGTGGGTGACAGTTACAGAAACTGATTAGCAAAGTATCACGATGCTACCAACCGCAGCAGCCACATTTAAAATACCAATGAATCAACTGAGCTGTACTATGTAGGTGCATATACATGCTATGCTGCTTGGGATATTACTTTAATGGCCCTATAGAAAAAAAGAATCGAGTCGGCTAATGTAATTAGTCACAGTCAAGCAAGCTAAATCCTGTTGCAACTCCTCTGCTGCAGAGGAACTCTAGAAGTGACAAATCTGACCACCCGATGCAGAGATCCACTTGTTCCATGTACTATCCTCAAGTTATTTTGAAGAACTTGTTACTAATGGACACTGACTCAGCATTAGGACTGAAAATATTTTCTTTATTTGCAGGTGACACCAGCGACCTGCCAAACGTAGCAGCGAGTTGTAACTTCGGAGGCTTTTTCTTCCAAAGGGGTAAGTGGACAGCAAATTGTATTACAATTCTTGATCTCTAAAGGAATGACTACATGCTGAGTTGACGACACCAAAGTTACTGTAGCTATGAAAACGCAAACCCAAAGGAAAACAGCTAATTCATGCATTTACTGAATCACCCAATTCCTGTTAATGCACAACAGAAGTACTGTCTGTTTAACTGTAAGGAGCCAAGTCCATCTATTACTGCAGCTGAAGGGACTTTTACAGTAGAAAAAGATCTGGCCCTAAATGAATACAACATACGCATGAGAAACAGTAGCATCCTAAGAGTAAAGTTTCCAAAAGCAAAGTTTTTTTCTTATGTAGTTTCACATGATTAGGGTCAAATGATCACTGAAGCACCTAAATGCTAAGACCTCTTTGAAAATGGAGTACAGGAACCCAAGTCATATATGGATGCTAGAAATTTTTCATTGGTATAAACAGAACTATGTAGTTTTATCAGAAAAGGCTACTTAATTTTTTAAAAAGAACATGTTATAAATGCAGAAAAGGAGGGGGGTGGGATCCCTATGTTAGTCTGGATTTTCAGAGGGTACTTAGATCTTCGGTTTCCATTTCTATACGGGGACTTAAAAGTCACGGAAGCCTCTGTGTAGAAGTACTCACAACCTTCAAAAATCTGTTGCTTCTAAAGCCCAGTGTTAATATTTTGTGACTGGCTTCCTGATGCTCACTTGAGGCTTCTTTGAGCCCTGTCTTCCATGATAAGGTCCAACTCTGCGATATTTACTTGCTCGAGCCATCCCACTGTCTTCAGTGGGATTACTTGTATAAGAGACAATCTCAGTCTTTGGCTGTGGTTCTCTAACTTTTTGCATGTGTGCAGAATTTTCTGCTTGTGTGGCATTGTGCTAATGCCTGTACACATATTCAGAGGTCCACCCACATGAAGCAAGTTGCAGGGATTACAACTGTAATCAGATGTGAAAATGTGGGTTTTTCCCCAGCCCAAGCCGATGTAATTGCCACTCCTTCGATGACATGCATTATGCAAGCCAAAGACTGAACACAATAAGATTTAAAAAAAAAAAAAAAAAAAAGCCTTAAAAAAGGCCTTTAAATCTCTTACCCTATCACTTGGTTACGAACAGAACCTACTTCCAGTATTCTTGTACAATTGTATCAAGCCATGCAAAACCACTGCTCAAAGCCAGCCTCAGAAACCAACAGTCCTACGATCACTCCAGGACTTAGATGCTTCATTAAGAACACTGAATTTTGAAGTACTTACATTTTGTTAAAAACAGCTTGAAATATCCCAAAGAAAACACAAAAGAATGTTTGACCTAATTATCTGTCAAATTCCATATATTTCAAATGAAGGTCCTAGGGACCCTGTCTTTATGAAAATGGATTAAAAAAATATTAAAACCTTATAATTTTGTTCAGCTCATCAAGCTCAGTGGATAGATAAGCTTTTCAGAACAGGCAGCTGTAGCCTATTTTGCTCAATCTGGTCAACTTTGACTTTAAAACACCGTTTCAGTGCAGGAACAGCTTATTTTATGGTTAACATTCGAACTCAAAGAACTTTGTATTGCATGCTATACATTGGCAAGAAATTTGGTTTTTCTTAAGGGTCATTTAGAAAAGAATCCCTGCAAAGCAGTAATTATCTCAAACTCTATTAAACCTTACCGTGTATGTTATGGTTTCCTCAGTTTCCTGCGAATGTACTGTAATAAGAATGAGAGCAGCCAAGAACATAGCTGTCAACATCGTGAACCTTGAAAAAAAGAAAAGAAAAAAAAACCAAATAAAACGGGAATATTTTTAGCGTTCCTTTTCGCTGGAGGACGCGGTCGGCACCGCCGGGACCGGCTCCGGTCACCGTCCCTGGGGGAAGCGGCGGGGACGCTGCCCCTTTTCTCCTGCGAGAAGAGGGTGAGGTTTGGCTGCGCTTCCAGCCCGTTGTATTTTATCCAGCTGAGGGGAGGGGAGGAATAATAATAAGTAAATGGAGTTTAAAATAACATAGCACTTAATGCCGCACCGGGCTGGAAGCGGTGCGCTCCGGCGCGGCGCTGGGCAAGGCGCCGGCGGTGTGACCGCCCTGCCGTCGCACGTTTTGGGGTGGCAAAGCGATTTTTCGGTAAAAGCTCACCATCCACGAGGAGGGCGGCCGGAGGGGAGACCCGGG